GGAGGGTCACCCCTGAGGACTAGGGTGGGAGGAAAGGGGCTCTTAAGTGGGGATGGTGTTGGTGGCAAAGAGCACAATGAGGATGATGATGACAAGAACAATCACACAGATGAGGACAATCATCTTCACATTCTTCCACCAGAACTTCCGGGCCACCTTCTGCGATGTTGTCTTGAAGTGTTCAGACTGTTAGGGACAAGACAAAGCAGTGACCCAGTGCTCTTTCCCTCAGGACCAGAGGACGAATGAAGGCCCACGCGCCGGAGTGTAGATGTTTACATTATAAACTAGAGTAACAACCTGAGACAAAGAGCTGGAGCCAGGGTATAGCTGCCTCTGAACAAACAAACAAACAAACAAATCTTTCCATGACAGTGGGAATGGAAAGGTTTTTTGTTTTGTTTTGCTTCAATTGTTTTTGTTTTATTTTTTTGAAACCGGGTTTCTCTCTGTAACAGCCCTGGCTGTCCTGGAACTCGCTCTGTAGACCAGGCTGGTCTTGAACTCACAGATATCTGCCTGCCTCTGCCTTCTGAGTACTGCGATTAAAGGTGCATGGTACCACGCCCGGCTATGGGAATGGAAAGGTTTTTAAAAATATTTTGATAACATTTGCTTGTGCCCCTGTGTGCTGCCAGATCACCACAGAGGACAACCTGCAGGAGATGCCTTTTCCCACTCTGTGTGTCCTGGGGATTGAACTCATGCAATCGGGCATGGTGACAGGAGTCTTTACCCCTTGAGCTAGCTGTCTGGGTTCTTTGTTTATTTGTTCGTTTTTAACTTTTGAGACAGTCTTACTATATATCCCTGACTGGATTGGATCTATCGATCTCTGGCCACTGAGTGCTACAATACGTTACTCTCCTACTTGATAAATCTCTTTCCACAACAATCTGTAGGCCAAGTTCAGAGTTAGAATTCTTGAGCTCATGGAGCTTCCCTCTGAGCATGGCAGGGGCCAGGACTTCCCTTCCTTCCTTCCCTTCCTTTTTTTTTTTTCTTCCTTCCTAGTCAGGCTCTCATTTAGCGAAGACTGGCTTCCATTGCTATGTAGCAAAGGATGAACTTGAACTTTTAAAAATTATATTGATTTATCTATGGTTGTATGTGTGGTGTGCATACAGAGAGGAGGTCAGAGCTTACTTTGTAGGGATCAAGTCTGGCTGTCAACCAAACATGCGCACCTCAGGTATGGAAATCAAGTCCTTAGACTTGGCAGCAAGTGCCTTTACCCGTTGTGCCATCTTAGAGGCCTGGCTTTGAACTTCTGATCCTCTTGCTGCTGCTTCCCAAGAGCTGGGATTATAGGCATGTACCACGATGCTCTGTTTATATGGTGCCAGCGACTAAACCCAGGGTTTCATGAATTCTAGTCAAGAACTCTATAGCCTGAGTCCTATCTCCAGCCTCCCTTCTTTTTCTTGCCCCTCCCCACAACTGGCCTGCACACTGAGGGGTCTTTTACAGCTGCTCATAGTCTAGGTTTGTTTGATTGGCAGAGCAATCTGGCCTTTGGAGAGCAGACCCACAGGCTGAGGGGTACAGGAGTGTGCTCCAGATGGGCACATCTACCGACTCTATGACACTGACTTCTAGGGGCCGCAGGAAGAACCAGGGCACCACAGAGGGTTGGGAAAGTAAGAAAATGCTTCCTGATCCCCCAAGTTAACTTCCAGACACTAAATCTCCATCTTACCGCACAGAACGCACTAGATTCCAGGATTACACATGGGACCCAGAAAGCCAGAGCTCTCCACAGCATGTGGAAACTAAGCCTTGGCTGATGGCGGACTTAACTTCCTCCCTGAGAAGCTGGCCTAAGCCCATGACTGCAAAGAGGAAAGGTCTAAGCAAGATATGTAGAGAGATTATTCTGGCCTTTGGCAGGCAGAGGGGTCCTGGGATCAAAGACTTTCACTGCTCTTCCCAGTCCTGTTTTAAAGCAGACTCCGCAAAACCCTATTTTCCCACTCCCAGCCTAATAACTTGTGGAAAATGTTAAAAGCCAAGGGCCACCTGCCCAGGGCTCATAATTTTGCCTTGGGAACGTCAACTCCAAATGATTGTTAAGGGCTTCGAAAGAAGAATCAGCTTCAAGCCCCAAAGAAGCCTAAGAATGCAGCAGGTGACTGAGCTGTCTCTGAAGTGGCTCTATGGGTGGACCCCGCCCCCAAGACCAAAGAGACCCACTCACTGGGCTCTGTACCAACCACAGAGGAGCAAGGAACCAGAGGAGGGGAATCCACAGTCCTCTGAATAGGCAAGAGGCCGGTGGACATGGCAGTCTGCCATCCCGTTTGCTCGTTTTGCCTCTCCCCCCAGAGTTCCCCCAACACCATGAGATCTCTCCCTCTAGTCCCGGTTTGCTTCTCACCGTGGCTTCCAAGTCCTCTGTCTTGTTTCGGAGATGGTCCAAGTTTTCCCCTCGGGCCAAGATTCTTTCCACATTCTGGGTCATGATATTCTTGACTCCCTCCACCTCACTCTGCAGGTTCCTAACTCGGTCATTTCCGGCACCCCCACTGGCGTCCTCCTGGATGTCAATACAGGGGTTAATTAGGCCAAACAGCAGAGGATCCAAGAGGCCAGATGAGGCTGGAAGAACTGGAGTAGATTTTAGCCATTTCTAATACTTTAACTGTTACCAAGAGAATGTTCTTTGTTTATATTAGTTATATCCATGGGTGTGGGGGCACACACACAGGTGTGTATCCCACCATGAAAAGTCAGAGATTAGCTTCCTGTGGTGTTTCGCCATAGGATCCTGTTACCTAGCTGCTTCCTCCCCCCACCCCCCACCCCCAGGCTGATTTTTGGAGAGCTGGCCTGGGGCTCTCAGATTAGCCTGGCCATCAAGCCCCAGGCATCAACCTATGTCTACCACCCTAATGCTGGGAGCCATCACACCTAGTGCTTGTGGCCACCACACCTGGGTTTTTTCTTTTTTTAATGTGCACCTGGGGATCCAACTCAAATCTCCATCTTTATGTGGCAAGCACTTCACCCACTGAGTCACCTCCCCAGCTTTATTTATTTATTTACTTACTTATTTATTTGGGATAGGATCTCAAATAGCCTAGGAAGGCCTCACTTCCTAAGTAGGATGACCTTGAACAGCTGACCCTACTGTCTCTCTCTACCGACCCTGTGCTGAGGTTGATTACAGGTGTGCACAGTCAGCCCTCGTTTATGAGGCGCTGGGGATCAAACCCAGAGCTTCAGGCATGCCAGGCAAACATGCTACCAACCGAGTCCTGTATAAGTGCAATATAGATGCACACACACATACGTATGTATGTATGTATATGTGTGGATGCAGAGTGGGGAACATACATGCACACCGCAGCACTCATGTGGAGGTCAGAGAAAAACTTTCCTGAGTGGGTTGTCTTCTACAGTCGGATGGGCAGAAGTGGGGGGATGTTGAACTCAGGCTGGCAGGCTCACACCGAGAGCCCTTTTACCTGCCAGCCACTTTGGCTGCCACATTTGTGGTTTTTAAGTCCCTAAAGATGAGATTTGATTCTGGACTATCATCCGCCTTCTATTTGGGATTTTCAAGGTCCCTGACAAGGAACAACAACACACACCTATCCCTATTTCCACTCTCCACAAAGAGGGTCAAGGAGATGACACAGCCCGCGTTTCCATTCTCAGCGGTGCACAGCTACTATTAACTGGTCTCCACAGCCACCCTCATCCCAATCCTAGTGGGTTCTCTCTAAGTAAGAGAGCTGGCCAGCAGAGCACCCTTGCCTGGCCCAACCACCCCAAGTGCCTCTGGAGACAGCTGTCGGTGAGTTGTTCTGGTTCCGGCCTGCTGGGCGGTATAACCAAGGTTCAGTGGCTGTGGCCCCCAGAAAGCATCATGAGCGTTGGACCGCACACTTCTGCTTTCCCCAGAATTTAGCGTCTGGTGTAGGCCACACACCACCGTCTGCTTATATAGATATTAAAAGTTCTCCCCGCTGCGGTCTCTCTTTGCAGAAGGCTTCTAGATAAGGCTTTTGAACTAGGAGGGAAAAGGCATGGACTCCTCCCTTGGTGACCCAGGGGGCCTCAGGTACCAGTCACGGGGTGTGGGCTGAAGCTAGATTGTCAGGGAGAACCGACGCCTGGCTACTTTACAAACTCAGGCGCTGTTGCTAATGTTTCTAGAGAAGGGGCTGCTTTTGGTGGCCAGGCAGATCCTTCGGGTGTCTGTAGACAGACAGTGCGAGGCTAGGAGGGAGAACTCCAGCCCGCTGGGCTGGAATCTGAGCCCCAAAGAGCAGGGGCACTTGTGGCCTGGTAATGTCACAACACCGGGCTCAGGCCCAGCTGGAGGAGGCGGAGGAGGGGGAGGGTGCGGCGCAGCAGCTTGGCTTGGAATTCGGGTCCCCCAGCCCCCACCGAAACCCTGATCCGATCCAGCACCGAGGTCACGGGAGGAAGGCGGTGGAGAAGTGTCAGGAACCCCTGGCCCGGAGTACAGAGCTATTTGTGGACGAGTTGTTAAAAGTAAGGAGACGGAGGCGGCGCTAGCCCTAGAGGGCCAGCCCTCTGACTGTTGCCAACTTACCTATCTCGACACAAGCAACCCCCAGACCCGATCCCCCTCTAGCAGTCCCTCTAAATCTCTCTTTTCCTAGTCCCCACGCCACTCACCATGTCTCGGAGCTCTTGGGCCTCACAGTCTCGCTTAGTCTGTTTCCACTTAGCGCAGCCACAGCTTCACTTCCTGCTTACTCCAACTTTCTGCCCGCCTCCTGCCCATCCCGCGACTCCAGCCTCTCCGGCTCCTGCCACACCTAACTGCAGGTTTCTCCAGGTAGGCGGCCTCCCTCGGCCGCCCTCCCAGTCTCCTCCCAAACAAAAGCTTAAGCTTAAAGCAACAGGGCACTCCGGCCCGGGGAGAGAGGGAGGGGGTAAAGGCGGGTGTGTGTGTGTGTGTGTGTGTGTGTGTGTGTGTGTGTGTGTGTGTGTGTG